AAAAAAAAAAAAAAAAAAAAAAGGAAAGGAAACACAAGGAAAGGAAGGGAAGGGAAGGGAAGGGAAGGGAAAGGAAGTTATAGCCTACTTTTTTGACCTGACCATAGATCAGCCTGTCTCGTGTTATAGCCTTGAATAGATCAGCTTTGATAATTGAGAAGGGGAAGCTCCAGTATTTGTGGAGGGGTAGCCATGCCAGACCCTCATCACCAATGCTTGCTTCTTCAGATGCTATCTCATCCTGCCACCACTTTCCCCTCGTGAGCCCCTATCCTTGCCCAATGACTCTCACCCTGTAGGCACTGTTGTAGCATCTCATAGTCAAGAGGGCTAAGCCATGACTATCTGTTTCTGATGGTCCCCAGTTTGTAAAGAAGGAAAGAAACATGGAAAGGATAGACGGAGCAAAGCACAGACAGTGTAGCTGAATGTAAAACAGGTGATTATGACCAAGTTGTGACTCTGGGAGGCCCTGTAGGCCCACCTCCACAATTTGGAGAAGAGGACTCCAGGTTTCAGAGTGAAAAGGGCCGTGATCTGAATGTTTGTATCCCTGCTCAATTTGTGTAGCAGAATTCCTCCTGACCCCCAAGGTGGCAGTATTAGGAGGTAGGGTCCTTTGATAGTAGGGCCCTCATGTTGGAATCTGTGCCCTTATGAAAGAGACCTGAGGCAGCTTTTTCATGCCTTTCACAATGTGGGGACCCAGCAAGAAAGCATCATATCATCGATGAGAAAAGGAAGCCCTTACCAGACACCAAATCTGATGGAAATTTTATCTTGGACTTCCCAGCCCCCAAAACTGTAAGATACAGTTTATGGTATTTTGTTATACATTAGAACAGACTAAGACAGAAAGTGAATTTTCCAGAATCATACAGGACCCTGTCTCCTCGTGCTCACTTGTGTACCCAGGGAGACACTTCGTCTATCTTGTCTGTCCAGGATTGATTGGGCTAGGAAAGAGGAAGCTTATGTTAATTTGAGAGGGAAGAATTGTCTAATCTTTCCCAGGATCTGAGGAAAAAATTCATTCACTCTTGTCTATACTCATTCATTCATTCATTCACTCACTTACTCACTCAGGACAGGCAGTGAGCACCTATACTGTGCCTTAAAAATTCCAGGTGAATGATAGAGACCCATCCCTGCCTTTGAACAGCGCCAAATTCGGTTGGGAGACAGACAAGTCACCTGACATGTCCAGTGTCAGAGGGGAGGTGGTGGTGATAGGGAGGCACAGAACGTGAGTTCTTGGGAAGAAACAGACAGAGGAGACCTGGTAGGGACTCTCAGGCAGTCATTCTGGATGTGAAGGCCCTGGAAGCATGGGAATTCTCCAACTCTGGTTCTGTGCTCTCAATCTCACTCACCTTCCCACCATACTGGAGACCTTACCAAGTTCTGACCTCCATGTGTGACCAACCTCAGCTCTGCCCCAGTGGGGCTCAGGGCACTGCCCATAGTGGGCATCCTTCTGCTTAGGACAGACCCTGACTCCTAGAGATGTCTAGGCAAGGGTGATGGCCCTGTCCATGGCAGTGATGTAGAGTTGAGCCCTGGCTTTGGAGATGTCTGTAGTTCTAGGGAGGGGCCTGACCAAACAGAACAGAGGTGGCTCTAGGTTAGAGTCTTACACCCAACATGTCAGATGTGCTGCGGACATCATAGGTCCACCTGGGAGCAGACACTCAGGAGAGTGGAAGGCCTCCATCTTTGTCCCTTGTCCTCTGCCCTCCCTCACCAATGTCTTATAGACAATGCCAGGCCTTTGCCACCTGTCCCAGGTCAGGATGTTGAAGCTCTGTGGTGTCCCTCCACACACATGCTCCCATCTCATCCTCCCAACATCTCTGACTGGGAAGTAATCCCTGTGATCAGACACTGGGGACTATCCGGCCCTGTATGACACTCACACAGGTGAGTAGCTGTAGGAAGTTGTCTTCACAGGACAACCCCAAACAATCCCAGCCCTCCCTGCATAAACACAGTTCTTTCATTGCAAGATGGAAATTATTATTATTATCATCTTCTCTTTTTGAATATGGTCCAGATTCCCATCCTCAGGACTCAGGTGTTCTGGCCCCATCCTTCAACTTACTCTGAACAGAGGGGTTCAAAGGAACATCTTCTGGGTCCAAGTGAGTTCCAACCTTATCAAGAGATTTCTTTGTTGAGGTTTATTTAGCATAGAGTAAATTGCATGAGTGTAAAATGTAGACGTTATTGTTTTAAAATATATACATTTATCATCACAGTCTATATGAAGAGCATTTCAACTGTTTCCCTAAGATGTTCTGCTCTTTGGTAATAATCCCTCCCTCAGCTCCCCTCCTGCCTTCCCCAGTGCTGTAGTTTAAATGTTTGTGTCCCTTCCAAAATCTGGTTGTTGCCAACGTGATATTATTAAAAAGTGGTGCCTTTAAGAGCTGATTAGGTTAAGAGGGTTCCTTCCTAGTGAAATCCCCAGAGCCCCCAACAAAACAGAGGCAGCCACTGGTGAATTTCTGTCATCCTAGATTAATCTTGCCTGCTCTTGAACTTCATGTAAGTGGAATTATAGAGTATGCAATTCTTTTAATTCTGGCTTCTTTCATTCAATGTGTTTTCAAAATCCATCCATGTTGTTGTACGTATCAATAGTTCATTCTTTTATTTTTATGAGTATTATACCATCACATGGATACACTTTGGTCATCCATTCACTGGTGGATGGATATTTGAGTTGTTTCCACATTTTAGCTATAATGAATAACGCTGCTGGCTTGGCACCTGTAGCTCAGGTGGCTGGGGCACCAGCCACATACACCTAGGGTGGTGGGTTCAAATCCAGCTCGGACCCACCAAGCAACGATAGCTACAACCAAAAAATAGCTGGGCGTTGTGGCGGGTGCCTGTGGTCCCAGCTATTTGGGAGGCAGAAACAGGAGACTCGCTTGAGCTCAGGAGTTGGAAGTTGCTGTGAGCTGTGATGCCACAGCACTCTACCCAGGGGGACAGCTTGAGTCTATGTCTCAAAAAAAAGAAAAAATGAATAATGCTGCTGTAAACACTCATGTCTAAGGATTTGCTTTCACTCTTCCTGCGTAAGTACCTAGGAGTGGAATTGCTGGGTCATAGGGTGAATGTATCATGTTTAATTGTATACAAAACTACCACTTTTTTCCAAAAAAAAGGTTGTACTGTTTACAGTCCCCCCAGAAATATATGAGTGTTTCATTTCCTCCACATCCTCACCGACATTTGCTGTCC